GTTCTATTTTTAATTTTGTACTATTCTGTACTAGAGCTATTATTTCTTTTTCTGAATATCTTTTTTTCATTTAATACTGACTTTTAACCCTATCAAGCATCTAAAATACATATTAATTTACTTGATAATTTTTCTACATAATCTGTATTTCAACAGAACACAGTTTTATCCTGTTTGTTCCAGTACTTCCTGCCAAGCCAATTATTTGACCTAAAAACAAAATTGCAAAGTTTAGTAGTGGAGAGAACCATAATTAAACTTACAGTGCCTCTACTCTTTTTCCTTTTCCTCAGAGAGCAGTTCAAGAAACGTGCAGGCATGACTCGCCATTTCTGATATCTGCTCTGTGTGCCTGATACAAAAGGGGTTGTTTGCAGTTTGTTAGCAAGCAGTGTGTGAGAATTTAATACTAAATTAGAAACTGTTTAAATTTTTAAATACTAGAGATTTTCTAATTGTTGAACTAGAATAAGGAAAACATGGGTTTGTTTCTGTAAATTTGTATCAGAGGTGGATTAATGACCAATGTGAAACCAAACAGCTGATTATCATGAGTGGAAGATTTTTTTCTAATTGCTAAATCAAAGGGCTCCCTCTTGCCCACTAGCCTCCTTCCTTTTTGCTGCACTGTCATGTGCTACATAATACTGCACAGAAGATGATCAGGAGCAATCTAAAAAAGCTAAAAAAAAAAATATAAAAAAATCATACCTGAAAATACAGGAAGGTCAGATATTTCTTAAAATACCATCCTTGAATGAAGTGTAATTTCCCTAGGTGATAAATAATTATAGAACTATACGGTGCTTTAATCAGCTGCTAATTAGGAAAAATAAAACAGGCCAGGAAAAAAAATAAATTCTTCAGTTCAAGGTTGTTTTTAAAAGGGCAGGAAGGCTAATTTTCCCTGACATTATACTTAAATACAAAAGGGTAGGTCACTATACTGTGTTAGAAAATTTGGAACTTTCAGAGAAGTGAATTGAACTGAACAGTTTCTGTTCCCTCACAACTTTTTAACAATAGAATTTTCCTAAATGTGTTGCAAGAAAGCCAGAAAGATCTATAATTTTCCGAAACCATGTCTGAACCAGAAGCTAGATGTGAAAGTGCACATGTAGTGCTAGACCCCTACATCTTCCCTTGGCAAGTTTTAGGTTGGTAAAGCCTTACAGGCTTCCTCATAAAATAGCTCCTCATGCAGTAATTGTAGTAGGCTAAGCATAAAAATTAAAACAACTGAGCTAAGATTGGGATGTGAGTGTGCTAAGCCAACAAAAGCACAAATGAAGTAGGGAAGGTTTAATTAAAGGAGAACAGAGGAGACACACCAGTGCAGAAAGGCTTTCGGACCAGCAAAATCAGCCAATTGTAACAGTAGTTTGAGGCAAATATATAGAGATCCTCTAGAAGAAAACTTCCAACAAACTCACTTATTTTTCAGATGTGTTTAAAACAGTGATCAGTGAGCAACATAAATACACAGAAGGTGCATTAAAAGAACACAGATGGGTCTTCTGTATGTTCTTCTGCATAAGGAAACCTGTCTTCCTGAAATGTATTCCTAACAATATTTGCAAATGTTTAGAGAATTAAGGCTACAAAAACATGGATTTCCCAGAAATACACACATTAAGCTTTCTATTTACATACTTATAAGAACTGCAACATAAAACCCCAACATCCAAACAAATGAAGATGCTGGTGGCTGAGTTACTGCTCAAGTGGCTAGCATTTGAACCTTTTTTTTCTGGATATCCAAAACTTCATTCTTCTTGGATGTACATCACATTATGGTTTTTAGTCCACTCAAGCTGGTTTCAGCACACTGCTGCTAGTGCTGTAGGATTTAATTCTAGGAAAAAAGGTTTTGCAGTTATTTTAGACCGTGTCTTCCAGTTTGGATTACATTTGTTCCTTTTTCTCTGTGTCATGCCCTATTTTCTTCCTCTCCTTTTTGTCCTTTAATTTTATTCCTTTCTAGGCTTTTCCAGACTTTATAAACTATTAAAGGACATTTTATTTTGATTATTTAAACCAAACTACCACTTACTGTTGCTGCATGTAAGGCTTTTGCTGTTTATGGAAGCCTTTCTCAAAGTGGATTTGTTACCAGTTCCAAAGCGGCTAGCTGGTGACACATGTTAAAGCACCAGCCATGATGAACAAGTAAAACTGACACAGGCTTCATGGAAAGTATAATTTTTCTCATTTATGAGGAAAAGCACCATTTGCTTGAAAATAAAAAGGTAATCAGGCTCTGTGCTAGATTTTCACTTAAAATACCATAGGCAGGTTCTACCGATAGACTCAGTCTGCCTTTTAAGTGACAGAAAGCATTCTTAGACCTGGTGTAACTGGAGAGCTTACTGCTGTTGTTGGTGGGATTAAAAAGCAGCTGCAGAATTTGAGTGACTGTCCCTTAACGTGGGCAGTCACAAATCCGTTTAGCTCATCAGGAGTAATTTTTGGCAGCTAATGATAAATATTTAGTACGCTGGTAACTATTTTGGTTTTCTTCTGCATTCAGGCCTGAGCTGACACATGGCAGCCAATTGCAAGGCAGTCAGAGAAAATAATGAGCAGTTTGTGTTGTTCTTGGTAGACTTTCCCTAATGCAGATCTTAGCCCTCAGCTATCCTCAAACATCATGGACAGCAGAAAATCTGTCATTCTCCCTCCTTGTCCTCTGCCTGCCTAACCATTTCCCTTAGGAAGT